GTCGCCCAGCTTCATGGAAAACTGGCCTCTGTGTGTGGCCAAAGCAAAGAGGTCCCCGGAGAGGAGCCGTGAGCTCCTAGATTCAAGAGGTGCCTGGCCGGTGAGGCTCAGTTGGTGCACTGATGGGTCTCGGGTTCGATTCCCAATCAGGGCACATATGCAGATTGTGGGTTCCATCCCTAGTCAGGCTCCAGCAGGAAGCCACTGATTGGTGTTTCTATTTCTCTCCCTCTCCCTTCCTTTCTCTCTAAAATCAATGAAAGCATGTCCTCGGGTGAGGATTTAAAAATAATGAGCTCAGAGTTGTCCTTGGGGCTGCTCGGCTGGGCTAGAAGAAGGGGTGGCCCCAGACTGGGGCTGTGGACCTCCTGCAGAGGGCTGCTCAGAGGTCGGGGTGTCTGTGGAGGGAAGGAATGGAGAGAGGATCAGAGAATTAGGGTGGTCTTGCTGCCTTTATTGAGCTTCTGGGTTCACACTGCTCGTCCAACCCTTTTATTTCTTCCTCATTGCAACTCCTTTCTCTCTCCCTCTCTCCTTGTAACTTAGCCATTTTCCCCACCAGTGTCGTTTTTCCCCCCTTCCTTTGAGAAGTGTGTCTGTATGTATTCTCTTTCTATTTCCCCCTCCCGCCCTGCCCCCCCTCTCCCGCCCCCAGCAAGCCAAGCCAAGCCAAGCCAGGTTGCAGGATGGGTGAGTTACAGGAAACTCCAGCATCACCCACGTGCTGTGCCTATAACCAGACCCACCCTACTGCCTCCCTATCATAGCGCCATGCTCCCAGTTCTCATTTTTAATATTCAGTGGAAGAAGTACTTTATAGTGCCTTATTTTTAAAATATATTTTTATTGATTTCAGAGAGGAAGGAGAGGGGAAAAGAGGGAGATAGAAACATCAATGATGAGAGAGAATCATCGATCGGCTGCCTCCTGCACGCCCCCTACTGGGGTATTGGAGCTGGCAACCAGGGCATGTGCCCTGACATGATTTCACAGGCATAAGTCTGATTCATAGGTCATGCTAACCACTGAGCCACACAGGCTGGGAATCTAACGTCCCTGCCTCTCCTGCTGTCATCTCACACTTTGCAGCCTAAGGACAAATACATGCTCAATATATTTATTTTATGTTTATGAGGTGGGAGGGGAGGGAAGAGGTCTACAGCATATACAAGGTTTTTAAACAAACTTCACAAAAAGACAGGACAGCCAGCGGCTGCGGGAGGGGCTCTGGCTCGCCGCCGCCACCACCGCAGGAAACTTTTTGTGTAATTAATGAGATGCTCAGCACTCCCACCTGATTATACTGCTGCAAACAGACACATCAGGAGGTCATGTTATTGACATGGGGATAGAACTGCTTATGTTGTAAGGAGAGCCCGGGGCTCCTTTGAGTGGCGTTTTCTCAAAGGTCTGTTCACAAATCACTAAATACTTGTCTGCCAGGGCAGGCTGCTCCCAGCTACTGGTGATTAAGCAGCAACCACAAATAAAAACACAGCACAGATGAAATGACTTTTTAAAACTTCCCTCTGTGCGCTCTCTGTGTTTTCATTTAACCTAACAAGAAGCTAATCTACCAGACAGCCCGGGCCACTCTGGACACCAGGAACCCATTTCCCACTCACGTTGGCTTGTTTTTAAGAGTAACATGGAGAGACTGTGCCGGACTGTGGAAGACCAGTTTAATGAAATCAAAGCCAAGGATGACCAGCAGACACAGTTAATCCACGATCTGAACATGCAGAAGGCGAGACTGCAGACCCAAAACGGTGAGCCCGGGCGGGTGGGGCGGGTGGCTGCGGTGCCGCGGGCCACGGGGGAGGCAGGCGCAAGGCTGACCGGGGCCATGTCCGTGCGTTAGGGGAGCTGAGCCACCAAGTAGAAGAAAAGGAGGTGCTGGTTTCACAGCTCACCAAAGGCAAGCAGGCCCTCACCCAGCAGCTGGAGGAGCTGAAGAGGCAACTGGACGAAGAAACCAAGGTAAGGACCACCGTTCCTGGGATGGCAGCGCCGGATAGCACCTGAGAGCCGGGAGGCCTGGGAGCTGGTGGGAGGCCGGTGCCGCGGGCCTGTCCTCTGCCTGCAGTGTGACAGGAGCCGGGTCTGCGAGGTGAGGGGACCTTGGCATCGGATCTCCTTCCTCAGCCCTAGAAAACTCTTCCAGGTGCTCCATCCTCTGGGGTCCTCTGTCCCCCCAGGGGGTTCTGATGCACTTCCCTCTCCAGCTAGGGGCGTCCCCTTCCAGCCCTCCCCACACACGCTGCCCTGGCTTGACCATCCCTGCCTTTGTGTATTCTTTCACGCTGCCCAGCAATTCATCCGGCCCCTCGAGATGGCCTCTTCTTTCTTCATCGCACTTTGTCCAGGCCCCTGCTGAAATACCCAATTTTAAGCTGCCCTCGTCCAAAACAGACGACATGATTGTAGAGGCTCCCCTGGGACATCTGCATAAACAAGAACATCATCATCGTGTTCTTGATGCCAATACCTAGCCATTTGTGTTCATATTGCAGGTCTCCCACTGATCTGTCAACTCATAGAGGGCAGGAATAATTCCCCACTGTAGTTGTAAACAGCAGGTACAGTGCACAGTAGGACAGAGCACACAGCAGGTGCTTCGTGAAGCTGCTCCTTAGAGTGAGAATCCAGGAGTCCACAAACGTGTGTAATTCTAATTCTGAGGGCCGCGTGCACCGGCGATGACTTATGGAGCCATCTTTTGGCAATCTCTCACGCTCTATCTGAAAAGGAGTCAGTGCTACATTTGTCTCCGTCTTTCTGTTGTATGGAAAGGGCCGGGGAGCGTGAGAACCGGAGCCTGATGGAGTCACAAGAAGGTCCGCTAACGGAGCGCGCTGTCCTCTGGCCAGGATACCGTAGTCGCTAAGTTCTCCTCAGCAAAGTCTTGTTGTTTATTTGTCTTTAAAGGGATGCAGATGTATACATTGCTGCATTTGGTGGTACCACAAAGTGTTAGTGACTGGGATAGTGAGCGCTAAACCATTTGTGGTCCTGCCCAGACAGGGATGCATGTGAAGGCCTCTGGGCATGTCCTCCTCTCAGGAGGAGGAGGCGGAGCGTGGAAATGGCACAGATCAGGTGCACAGAGGTGGGGCAGCAGCCCACGGTGGCACCAAAGATGCCTTTGGGTGTTCATGGTCGCAGGGCTCCACCGCATTGTATCGACTTTTGTTTCAATTCTTCTGATCACATGAGGACTCGGTCTCCGCTTGGGGACCATCTCTCTAGCACTTGCTGATTTACTGACCAGCACCTAGGGGGCAGGCCCCGGGCACAGAGCCGCAGCGGCCAAGTACCTACCCACGGAGAAGGCGATGACGCTGCTCTACCGCCATTGGTTGATTCTTAGGGACGCCTTCTCATCGCGGCACATATTAACGGTGTTCCATCTGCTGTAGTGCGACAGTTTACTTTAAAATCAAATATAATTAGATATAACAAAGGAGTCAGCTTTCTAAAAATTAAGTACATAAAATAGGCGATGCGCTGTTACCGCCAAGTTTGGGAAGGCAGTAAGGAAACGATTCGACTTGGGGAAATGCTGGTTTACGTGAAAATACCTCACCTGGGGAAATGGCCAGGTATTTGTTGCCATTTGTCACCCCTGCGATTCCCCAGGCCAAGAACGCCCTGGCCCACGCCCTGCAGTCCTCCCGCCACGACTGTGACCTGCTGCGGGAACAGTATGAGGAGGAGCAGGAAGCCAAGGCTGAGCTGCAGAGGGCGCTGTCCAAGGCCAACAGCGAGGTTGCCCAGTGGAGGACCAAGTATGAGACGGACGCCATCCAGCGCACGGAGGAGCTGGAGGAGGCCAAGTACGGCCCCAGGTTACATAGGAGAGGTGACCCCAAGGCACAGGCGACGGAACAGAGGACCGACCCTTCCTGGAGCACCCCTCCTCCCAGGCCTTGGGTTTTCTGAGCATTCACATAGGTGCTCCTGTCCCTCCTGTGGGGACCGTCCATTCCACCTGGCTTCCCGGGGGCCCTTTCGGTGACCTTGGTGGCCACCAAGCTCTTTGGGATCCTTCCGATGTTACTTAAATCCTCTCTATTCATCAAACTCTAGGTCATGCTCTTGTCAAGTTCCAGTCCCTGTAGACTGTTTGTTTCTCTTCCGATGTAGCCCTTCTGAAATAGTGCACCTTTGCCAAGGGAGAAACATCTGGTTCTCTTAGGAAAAAGCTGGCCCAGAGGCTCCAGGAAGCGGAGGAAAACACGGAGGCCGTGAGTGCCAAGTGCGCGTCCCTGGAGAAAACCAAGCAGCGGCTCCAGGGCGAAGTGGACGACCTGATGCTGGGCCTGGAGCGGGCCAACGCCGCCTGCGCCACCCTGGACAAGAAGCAGAGGAACTTCGACAAGGTCCTTCCTCCCACGGTGGTGGCGGCGATGAGAGCGACGGCCCTCATGCCCACGTGTGAGATGCTCACACAGCCTGCCGAGCATGGAGGCCCCGTCCGGGGAGCTTGGGGATTGGCGGTGTCTCTTCACTTGGGTGACGGTCCCTCGAAAGGGAATTCTCTTCTTAGTTAAAGCTAATTCTGTTTCCTTTGAGATGAAAACATCTTCAAGAACACAGTCGATCGCGGTGGGGGTATCGGAGCGTGGAGTCTCTGCTCTAGAAGGGGGCCCTGTCTCCCTAGTCCTAAGGATGGAGGGGTGAACTGCGGTGTTGCTGACGGTCCCCTGCCCTTCCTGCTCCTCACATGCCCTGCGTCACCCCCAGGTCCTGGCAGAGTGGAAGCAGAAGCTGGATGAGGGCCAAGCTGAGTTGGAAGCAGCTCAGAAAGAGTCCCGGTCGCTGAGCACCGAAATCTTCAAGATGCGGAACGCCTACGAGGAGGTGGTGGATCAGCTGGAGACGCTGAGGCGGGAGAATAAAAATCTGCAAGGTGAGCCCTGGCCGGTGCGGCTCAGCTGGTTGTAGCGTCATCCGGTACACCACAAGGTGGCAGGTTCGATTCCCGGTCCAGGCACATACCTCGGTTGTGGGTTCCACCCCCAGTTGGGGTGCATGTGGGAGGCAGCCAATCGATGTTTCTCTTTTTCTCTAAAATAAATAAATAAAATAAAATTTTAAAATCTGCAAGGTGAGCTCTCTGCCCACCACAGGTGCGTAATAGTCCCCTTCTCGTCCAGCCACCCCTCCCCCATGTGTCACAGCCACCCCCGGACGCCTCCTCCCTCCCACTGCCCACCCAATCCGCACATCTGCTCAGTTTGCCATGAGGCCCGAGGCCTCCTGTGAAAGGCACAGTGGCAGAAAGTCGCATCCTCAAAACCAGGGGGCACAGTGGGGTGCTAAGGTCCCTGTAGGAGAACATTTCCCGGATTCCGTCTCAGTGTGGTCCTGTGCATGTCCCCCACACTTCTCCCCTCGGTCCTCTGGGCCGCTGCAGAGCTTTGGGGAGTTTGGGGCCACACAGTGCTGTTTCACTCGCTCTCTGCACAGCTCAGGTGCGGCAACCCACCCCCTCTGCTCACACCTCACCCCGAGGGCTCCGCCTGCTCTCTCCCACCTAAATGTCCTGAGTGAATCGCCGGCCCTAAGCTGCCTGGCCAAGGCCTGCGCTGTCCCTCGGAGCCTGTTTCGCAGCCTCAATCAGGCCTGTCCTTTGCAGAGGAGATTTCCGACCTAACCGAGCAGATGGCAGAAAATGGCAAGCACCTTCAGGAGGTGGAGAAGACCAAGAAGCAAGTGGAGCAGGAAAAGTCGGACCTCCAGGCTGCCCTCGAGGAGGTGGAGGCAAGTTCTGGGACGCAGCACATGGGAGCTCAGGAGGGCGGGCGCTGAAGGAGGGGCCAGCGCACCCCTGGGGGCCCCTCCTGCAGGGAGGCCCCGGGAGACAGCTGCGCTCTGCTGCGTCCTCTGGGGTCCTCCTGTCTCCCCTTTTGAAGATAAATACATTTGTTTGTTACATCCTCAATGTTTCCTCTTGGGAAGCAAGAAATCCTTCACCAAACATCTGAGAGCCGGCTCTGAAGCCCTCATTTTTAACTGTTGCACACGATCACCTCTGGCTACTGGGAGTCCGGCACTGACCACAGTGCCGCGGGCTGAGCTCATACTCAGCTGCGGCCAGTGCAGGGTGACGCTCGGGAAGTTTCTAGGGAAATTTGCGTAAATTTGTAAAGTTTCACAGGATAAAGGGAGAACAATTGCCCTGACATTTTAGAGATAGGTTGGCTCCCGACTTATAGCCTTATTAAACAGACACACTCAATAAAATGTTCACTAATTCAAAGGGATGCGCTGTCCCCCTCAAGACCTGGTTGTTAATAACGAAGTGTTAGTTCCAGTTTCATTACTAGAAGGGACATTCAGGAGCAAGTCATTTGAGCTTCTTGAGTGTTGTTCTACTCATCTGTAAAATGGGTGTTATTATCATACCCATCCTATATAATAAAGGGCTAATATGCCAATTGTCCCCTTTGGAGTACAACCTACCTGAGTTCGACTGCTAGCTATGACATGCACTGACCACCAGGGGGCGGTGCAGAACAAAGGAAGGCCCTGGCTGGCAGCCGGAAGGCCCTGATTGCTGGCCAGGCCTGGGGACCCTACCCGTGCATGACTTTAGTGCACTGGGCCTCTAATTTGATAATAACAGTGGAAAATACCCATTCAAGTGCCCACAGCACTTCCAATCGCTCCTGTGTTTTTATCAGGGCTCCTTGGAACATGAAGAGAGCAAGATTTTGCGTGTCCAGCTAGAGCTGAGCCAGGTAAGATCCGAGCTTGACCGCAAAGTCACGGAGAAGGATGAAGAAATCGAGCAGCTAAAGAGAAACAGCCAGCGGGCAGCAGAGGCCATGCAGACCATGCTGGATGCGGAGATCCAGAGCCGGAACGACGCCCTACGGCTGAAGAAGAAGATGGAGGGAGACCTCAATGAGATGGAGATCCAGCTGGGCCACTCCAACCGCCAGCTGGCGGAGACCCAGAAGCACCTGCGCACAGTCCAGGGCCAGCTCAAGGTGACCGTGGGGCCTTTGGGGTGGGGGTGGCTGGGCCCTCGGCCTGTGGGCTCCGGCCTCACCCCTGCTTCCCCCTGCAGGACTCCCAGCTGCAGCTGGACGACGCCCTGAGGAGCAACGAGGACCTCAAGGAGCAGCTGGCCATCACGGAGCGCAGGAGCGGCCTGCTGCTGGAGGAGCTGGAGGAGATGAAGGTGGCCCTGGAGCAGACCGAGCGGACCCGCAGGCTGTCCGAGCAGGAGCTGCTGGACGCCAGCGACCGGGTGCAGCTGCTGCACTCCCAGGTGCAGCCAGGCTCCCTCCACGGGGCCCTTTCCTCCTCCGAACATAGAAGGTCATGTGTGTTGTGGGAAGTCAGAGCAAGGAAGGGTGAATGACTGCATGAAGGGGCTGGAAAAGGCCTCACGGTAGAAGCCATAATCTTAGAAAGTTAGGATTGTCGTTCAAAATAATTATTTTTGTCATTTTTATGAAAAGTTTTTAAAAATTCCTTTTTATAAACAAATAGAGAATACAAGCAAAGGAACAGAAGAAACGTGCTAACCATAATGTTAACATTTTAAGACTTTTCATGCTAAGCTCTGTTTATGTCCATAAATATTATATTTTTTTGTAAAAATGTGATCAAACTTTTTGCAACTTATTTTCATTTAGCAATGTGTCATGAACATGTGTCTACATCTTTAGAGAGTTTTCTATGACTGTTTTTAATGGCAGAAAGGTAGTCCATTTTAGTCGTGTATTATGGCATTTTTATCTAACTAATTCTCTATGATTAGATGTTTTATATCATTCCCCCCCCCCAAAAAAAACTTACTATTAGAAAGACTGCTATGATGAACTTCTTTATAACTAAGTTTTCACATATATCCATTATTATTATTATTTCCCTAATATTCCTAGAAGTAAATAAATTCCTAGAAGTAAAACTTCACAGTCCAAACAGTAAAGACATTTGTAATATACTGTAAACTGATCTTTAATTAAGTCGTCTCAATTTTTATTACCCATTGGGAGCTCCTTCCTATAAATTCTCAAAGACCGTAGCTATTATTTTTTAAACCTGACCAATTGTAGTGTTGAAAATATTTCTTTTTAAAAAATTCTTATTTCTTTGATTACTGAGGCAGAACATTTCATCATATTTTTTGCCACTTGGATTTCTTCTGTTGTGTCTTACCTATTTGTACTTCTTGCCCTTTTTGCTTATCGATTTGTTTCATGTTAAGACAGGGAATATTTTTCAGTAATAATCATTGCAAGTGTATTCCAGTTGGTCCTCACTTTTGCAATTCCACTTATGGTATATTTTGATCATTAGGGCTATTTTTCATTTTATGTCACTATGTCAACAAATCATTTCCTTCTTCCAACACCTTTTTGAATAATCTCTTCTTCCCCAAATATTTGAAAGTCCACTTTTATCATTTATTCAATTATTTCACGTGCAATTCTTGGGTCTGTCCTGGAACTTTCTGTTTGGTCAAGACCAAAACAGTGTCTAGCAAAGCCCATGTGACAATGAGGAACGGAACCTGACCATGGTTTACGTCCTTTCCCACCGAGCCCTCTCCCTCCCAACTGTTTGACGTGTCCAAACATAACCTATCCTTCTGGTATCTGCTTTTCCTTGTAGAACACAAGCCTGATAAACATCAAGAAGAAACTGGAAGCTGACATAGCCCAGTGCCAGGCAGAGGTGGAGAACTCTATCCAGGAATCCAGAAACGCAGAGGAGAAGGCCAAGAAAGCCATCACAGATGTGAGCGCCGTTCTTTCTCTTCAGAGACGCCCTTGGGAGAGAGGGAAGGGGCTTCTAAGCCCGGGCGTGACACGCAGGTTCCATCTCCTTAAGACCTAAGTCCGTCAGGGGTGGCTCCCTGAAGAGATGGCCTAGCAAAGTGGGGGAGGGAGTGCTATGCACACTCCGTGGCGGCTGAGGGAGGGAGGCACGCATCAGCACACACAGCACCAACCTGAGCATCTTGCAGTGCTCCGGGCAGGGATGGGATGGGCGGATGGCCCACGGATGTTTTCTGTGAACTTACCCAGGCGGCCATGATGGCCGAGGAGCTGAAGAAGGAGCAGGACACCAGCGCCCACCTGGAGCGGATGAAGAAGAACCTGGAGCAGACGGTGAAGGACCTGCAGCACCGTCTGGATGAGGCTGAGCAGCTGGCCCTGAAGGGCGGGAAGAAGCAGATCCAGAAGCTGGAGAACCGGGTAGCTGGCCCGAGGGGACTCCCCCCAAAGTGATGCCCAGTTCCCGGGCAGAACCACCGTCTGGAAACGCGGGTGGTGGGAAGGTGGCCGCTGACTGAGCAGACTGCAGACTTAGCTTGAGGACCTCTTGCAAAACTCCCTGGGAGCCAAACATCCCACCCGTTTCCTTTCCGCCGATCCCTCCACCCCAACTCACGCAAATCCACTGCGGAATGCTTCTGCCTCAATAACTGCAGGGCGATGACATTTGTAAGTGTTCACATTCTGGTTTTATAGAGTTTCAGACCCACACAAATGGGGAGAGATACAGTTTACAATTTTAAAAGTACACGTTTTAGTGGGATTTAAATTTTGGACCAACCTCCACTTTGATATATAGTGGCCCATCCTGTGTAAAATCTGGAGTCTCCCTTGGTCTCCCACTCCTGGATCACTCCCTCCCCTGACTCCCCCATCTCCAAAGGCATCTGGGGCATCCTGGGGAGGGCGGTTGGCGCCTCCTGCATCAGTGCCCCACACAGGGCAGCCCTGCACTCTGCCCTCTGGGAGTGTACTTTGTGGTTGTTTAGTTTCTTTGCTGATCGGCCCCTTTGTTGCTTGCTTCCCTTTAGGCCTGTGATGGTTTATTTAATGTGTTTTTAAAATGGGCTCCACTACCAGTTAATATTTTGAAGAAGGGCTGTGAGGAGGAGGTTGTCAGATGCCTCTTGTCCCCAGGAGAAAGGAAATGAGAGAGTGGGAGGGGAAGAGGAGGAGGAGGCGACAGAGAGGAGACCACTTATCCCAGCAGGAGAGACCCAAATACAGTCATTCTCCCGGCCAGCCTCCCCCGGAGGTGGTCCCAGCACGGGCACACTTGAAATGTGAAAGGGTTTTTTGGTTGGAAACGACACAGCGTGAGTAGCGAAAGTCAACACGGGGAAGCTGGGGCTTCCAAAAAATATCTTTCCATGTTGTTTTTCATTATTTCCAGTCCTATTCTATTAACACGAGCTCAGGCCTGCCCTTCTCGTGGCTCCTCCCTCGAGGGAGGAACTCGATCCCTTGCCACCCTCTGATTCTGTGATTCCTGGGTTGGCAGGGGTCCCTCAGCCAGCCTCCACCCTCCACCCTCCCTCACCCCCGCAGGATGAGGAACCTTCAAAACCCTCCCATTGCCAGCTGCCCAGTTACCTTGGTTTCATAAACCTTACAGAGGCCTGGAGAGCTCCCCTCCTCCCCTCCTCCCCCTGGGGAAAGAAAGTTTAGTAGAACCTGAAGGAAGACAGCTCCCAGGGCCCACAGGGTATGGGAAGGGGTGGGATCCTGTTTGGAGCGGTGGCCAGAGGTGGCCTTTTCCACTGGTAGATTACAAAGCTGACCTGGGGGGTCTGCAAGCCCAGAGCCGCCCCTGTCTGTGGCAGCGGGATTCCCAATGGCTGGCCGCCACCCCACGCCCCCTTTGGGCTCTCTCTGAGCACGGACTTGGGGCCACAGTTGGTGACCTGAGTTCACGATGGCTGTCCTCTGCCGTCAAGACTTCAGGAAAGGAGGGCGCAGCCATGAAATTAACACCACCCGTGTAGCGTCATATCTTCTAAAAAATACTTCCACGCCTTTTGTGTAATCTGGTCCCCACACTGGAGGTAGCCCGGGCAGGAATGACCATCTCCACCCCAAATACACAAAACCTCATCCCCAGTGCGGAGCTGCCTTGCTTTGGCTCACTCAGCGGACCGGACTTGAGCCCCTGGACTGCTCCTGGTTTTGGTTCTGGCCGGGATCCCGCTGCCTCTCGGTCAGGAGCCGGGCCACCTGGAGCAGCCATGCAGTCTCCCCCTGAGCCTGCGGGGCAAGTCGGGCTGAGGCACAGCTCTCGCCAGGCTGCGTGGCACCAGAGGAGGCGGCTTCCTTGCAAAGCCGGACCCGGCAGCTGAGCTGTGTGCACCTGAGGCTGCCCCTGGCCACAGAAGGTGCCTCGTTCTCATTCGCACAGAGCCCGCCGCGTGCAGGAGTGGTGGCCTCGGGAATACACGTGGCTTCTGAGTCCTCGGAGGAGACAGTGAGATCACCCTGCAGGACAGGCACCGGGTCCATGAGAGAGCCTGGCGGTCCGGCCTGAATCCGTGTTCTCTTTCCCAGGTGAGGGAGCTGGAAAACGAGCTGGATGCTGAGCAGAAGAGGGGAGCCGAAGCTCTGAAGGGGACACACAAATACGAGCGAAAAGTCAAGGAGATGACTTACCAGGTAGAGGCTGGAACCTGGGTGAGTGCTCGGACGGGAGGCGGCGGTGGCCGGGCCTGGAAGGATGTTCTGTTCGCAGGCCGAGGAGGACCGCAAGAACATCCTGAGGCTCCAGGACCTGGTGGACAAGCTGCAGGCCAAAGTGAAGGCGTACAAGAGGCAGGCCGAGGAGGCCGTAAGTGGGGGAGCTCCCGGGGGCCCACGCCGGCCTGAGTGTCCCCCAGCCCTGCTGGGAGTGTTCCTGTTTCCTACAGTCCACAGAGCTCGGGAGGTTTTCACAGACCATAAAGCAAGGACACCTGTACCCTCCCTCCCCCGGTCCGTGTGACACCTCCCACTCACCTCCTCCTCTGTGCCCTTGCCTCACCCCGTGTGACCAGCTCCCCCCATCCCTTCAATGGGCCTCGCCCAGCTCACACTCTCCCACCCACCCCAGAGCGTCCTTGCCCACCTGCTGGCCTCTCTTCACCCTGTCTCCCTAAACAACTCAGCCACCCACACCCACCAAGCCCTCCTGCCCGTGACCTGACTTAGACACTTCATCCCCCTCCCCTCCCTGGTCCCATCCTCCGCACCACCACTCCTGCTCTCCCAGAGGTCCCCCCACCTCCTCCTTCCTGGCCCTCCCCTGATGCCCATCACCCCAGTCCTTCCCTTTTTGATCTGCCCTCGATCAAACAGGGAAGAAATGAAATGGGCTGAAACCCGGCATTTCCCCAAAGTACCTCCTGGGGACATTGGGTCTGAGGGGTGTTGGGGCTGGAGTAGGGGGCGGGGGGAGCATGGTTTCTTTTATAGAAAAGAAATCGATTGGAAATGCTGGGTTTAAAAACATTGAACAAGATGCTTTACTTCAAGGATTTCTCAGATTTTGTAGGTCATATGTAATTGGCTCTGAAAAGTGGAAGAGGCATTCTAGAATGTAGCATTTCTCACTCTTCATGGGCCTGGGCACCTGGTTCTTATATGCAGAGCTTCCCCCAGGACCCGTGTTCAGAGGAACAAAACCGGGGAGACCCTGCCCTCGATAAACGCCTGAGCATGTGGCTTCTCTCCTTGTCCTTTCTCTTCCCTGCCCAGGGGGCTGGTTGGTTCTGTCTTGACATCAAAGGGACAGATCTGTGCTGGTTACATAGCAGGGAGACGCGTACTCATCGCTTTAGAACAGTGGCAGCGGGACTGGCCAGCCTGGAGGGGCCCAGAAGGCCACCTTTGTCAGGAACCCCTGGCTAATGCTGAAATAGACCCAGACAAGGGCCTGGCCATAGGCAGATGATGCTGGGAGCAGGAACAGGGCAATGGGGGCCTGGGCCATTGGTCTGTGACACCTCCAGGTGCCAGGGGAGGACTCTGGACTTGGGTCTCTTTCAAAAAGCTGCAGGGGGAGAGACGGCATAGAAAAGGGGTGCAGGGACACAGGGGTGCAGGGTGCATCCTCACCCATGGATTGCTCAGCTTTCTCTCCCCTGGCATCAGTGAAGCCGGGATCCAAGCTGTCCTGGTTCCCCAGTCCCCTAGAGGCCTGCAGGGATTGGGGGCCTCAGAGCCAGAGTAAGGGGCTGCCTCGGCCCTCCCATCCCTCTGTCTTCCGCTCAGGAGGAGCAGGCCAACACGCAGCTGTCCAGATGCCGGAGGGCCCAGCACGAGCTGGAGGAGGCCGAGGAGCGGGCAGACATCGCCGAGTCCCAGGTCAACAAACTCAGGGCCAAGAGCCGAGATGTCGGGGGCCAGGTGAGAGCAGACTTCCCTAGACGTGCTGAGCCCCAGGGAGGGTTCAGAGGGTATCTGTGGGTGCTGGTCGTTGGCTCACAGATGCCGCTACTTTAGCCAGAACCCATGGTTCTAGGCTCCAGGAGAAAAGCAAGGGGCCAGGGGCCACACATCTTATCCCTCCCATCCCTCCCTGTGGCCAGAGGCCCTGCTTTCCAGGGGGGCGGGCTCCTTCCCCGGGGCTTGAGGGCCTTGCTTTGGTCATGCATCCGTAATATTTGTCTGAGCTTCCAGCCCTTGCAGCCGCCCCACTTGCAGACGACACTCAGCCTCGCCTTCGGTTTGACTCATATCCTGTGTACGATTCTTTTCTCCCACAGAAGATGGAAGAATGAGGCCCTCCTGATGCCTGTTGCCATGGGCACCTCCAGGCGAGTGGAGGGAAGATATTGTGAGAAATAAATTCTCCTAACCACTCAGACACTCGGCTCCTCTGTGCTTATTACCCCGGCCCATTGCTCTCCCGTGGGCTGCCTTTTAGATCCTCGCCTGATCTCTCCTTCATATAAAGACAGTAAGGAATGTGAAAGGGGAGGCTCCTTGCCCCCAGTAGAAAGGGGAAGTCCAGCCCATTGCCAGATAAGTCACTGGCCTCCATAGCATCTCAAAATAAAGACCCTTTCCGGGAACTATAGCACATGTTCTTCCTGGGACTCATGATTCTTTCCAATTCAGTTCCCCATTTCTCCCCAAATTTACAGATAGGGAAACGGGGGCCGGGATGGACGTAGTCCTCTGACTGTAGTTGTTCAGGGCAGGGTGGAGCGTAGACCCAAAGATCACAGACTCTACCCAGGGCTCTTTCCTCCAAGCAAGTCTGCTTCCCATCCCATCCCTCCTGGGACCACGTTACCCTCCTCTCAGACCCCCCCACAGCTCCCAGGCAGCGGAGAGGTAATAGGTGCTCTCAAATGCTCCACTCCCGGGAGGACAGGTGCTTCGGAAGACTGGACAGGGGCCTGTCTTGCAAGCTTTGCTCCTTCCTCTAGCTGGGGTCACTCCTCTCAACCTGGCTGGATTCCCTTCACGATGCTCAGGGCCACCGGTGAAGGGAGCAGGTGGGCCCCAGGAGCCACTGACTTCCAGACTGAGGCCTGAGGCTGGGACCAGGCACCAATAAAGGAGCTACTGCTGGTTTTAGGGCTTCCTCCCAGGCCCAGGGGTCCCACGGATTCTGATTATGTTGCTTTGCTTACCCTGAAGGGATTAGGAGCCAACACTACATTTGAGTTCCAGCCTGACCACTTCATGCCTGTAGCTGTGTGGCCTGGGGTTGGTTACACGTGTTCTCTGAGCCTGAAGTGCCTCCCAGTGTGGTCAGAGCACGGGCTGTGGGTTCCAGCAAACCTGGATGGAATGCTGATGCTGTCACATACCAATTGTGTGGCCTAGGGCAAGTTAGTCTCTTCCCTGAGCCCCAATGTGCTGATGGTGTAAGGCAGAGGTCATGGAAATCGCAGCTGCACTGGGACACTGGGTAGGCGGCAGGGGGCATGGCTTCTTTTAGAGGCAACAAAAATGTTTCACAATGGATTGCTTGATGGTTGTATAACTGTGAATTGTGTCTCACTAAAGCCATTAACTGATAGTAAGTATTGGGTTACTGTGTCCCAGGCAATGAGACTAGCAGCCTCCAATGTCTTAGACTAATCCTCCTAGAACCTCCTTTCCATCTCATCACCAGCCCACCCCTGCCTGACTTTGACACAGCAGGGCTGGGAGCTGAGGGCTGGCAGCAGGGTGCTAACAGGAAATGATCCTGAGGTCAGGTGACCTCAGATGTCTGACATCACCATTATCACTATCATCAGCATCCTCCCTATTGTCATCATCATCATCATCATCATCATCACTGTCCCTGCTATCACTGTCATCATTTCTATCCTTACCACCGCCACCACTGTCATCACCATGGTCACCACCATCATCATCATCATTGCTGAATATTAGGAATGAAAGAGTCTATTAACAATCATCTCTTTATTCTCCTCAATTTTACAGGCAAGGAAATAGGCCATTCTCAAAGTCTGGGTACCAGTCGCTAGGTCAGTCCTCCTGCCACCCCACCACATCGCCCTCCCCATAAGAGCAATGATACCATATCACATACACAGATCGATTTTGTATGATGCTAAGTGTTCACATGCCCATTTTTTCCGTTCCAGTCTCTCAACAAGCCCATCAGGTGATGAGGCGGTATCAACACCTTCATTTTCTAGAGGCTTTGCAGACCGGGTAGGGTGCCCAGTGTTGAGCAGGAAAAGAGAGGGCAGCTCTTCAGACTCACACACAGCAGAGTCTCTGGAGGGAGGGTTTTCCCTTGTGTGATGATGCTGTAGTGGTAAGAGCCCTGGGTGCCAGCCCCTGGGCCCCAGCCCTGGCCCACCACTCACTATCTTTGTGATTTGGAGCCAATTCCTTCATGACTTAAGGGTCAGCTTCCTCACGTGTAAAATGGGCATAACAATGGACTCCACAGGGTTGTTTTGAGAGGTGAATAAGAATATTCAACAAGTGCGCTTAGTCTAGAGCCTGGCCTACAGTTAGCACTGGTAACCTGTCATCATGAAGAGGTGGGGGAGACATGCCTGGGGACACAGTGGAGTGTAAGACAGGGTCCAGATGGACAACAGTCTGCGGCTTGGGCTGTGTCTCTCAGGAGCTTCCTCTGGTTTGAGGAGTTAATACTCCATGCAGTTGGAGGTCATCAACCAAAATTCCTGTGGTGTCCCTCCTCCCTGGCACCCAACAAAAGCAGGTCTAACTTCCATCTGCTCAAGTACTCCACAGTTCACCCGGGGCTCCCCAGGAGGAAGCCACCCCCAAGTGTCTCTGCACTTACTTGGCCTTAACACCCCAGCCCCCAGCCCCCAGACCTCTGAGTTACAAGAAAAAGAACATTTCTACATCCTTCATAGTACATAACAGTGTCTTATGCTATAGAACAGTGCTTCTCAACCTGTGGGTCGCGACCCCTTTGGGGGTCGAACGACCCTTTCACAGGGGTCGCCTAAGAGCATTGGAAAACACATATATAATTACATATTGTTTTTGTGATTAATCACTATGCTTTCATTATTTTCAATTTGTGACAATGAAATTGGGGGTCACCACAACATGAGGAACTGTATTAAAGGGTCGCGGCATTAGGAAGGTTGAGAACCACTGCTATAGAAGAATCCCAATTATTGAATGGAGAGATGAATGAATGAATGAATGAATGAACGAGAAACTTTCCTACCCAGGCGCCAAGTATGCCCTGGCAATGATAAAATAAAGATTTTAAAACTTTCCTGAGAGCTGGAAGCAAGAGGAGGGGATGAACATGGGGTTCCTGTGCTGAGTGTTCTTCCCAGCACCCCCATGGCAACCGGAAACCAAATTCAGGCCCTGGGTCTTGGGCTGGGTACCCCTGGGGTGTTTGAGGAAGAGACTTTACAAAGATGGGGGCAGGTGGAGGAGAGTCACAGGGACACAGCAGCACTCCAGGTCTGCTGAAGAGGGAAGGAGAGGGGCCTTGCACATGGTGAGACAGTGCCCAGGAGGAAAGCTTGGGCTTCTGTCTTGGCACATCCTACTTTCCAGGAGACCTGGGTAAGTCAGAGAATGTCCCTCAACCTCAACATGGGCTGAAAGCCCAGCACTTCCTACCTGCACGATGGCGGTGTTGAAAGATCACTATGGGACACTGGGCAGGTTTCCTCCACTACATAGCACCACCCAAATCGGAGAGGGCATTGTGGCTGTTTTACTAACAACAGAGATAATAATAATGATGCTGTTGTTGTTGTTACTATTATTATTATCATTACTATTCAGCAGTGAGGCCTAGCCACCAAAGCTGGACTCTGAGCCCTGGGCCTCGGAGAGCAGCGCCTACCCTGCCCTACGGGCCCCTTCAAAACAGAGCTTTGCTGCCACCTCCTGGCTGTGGAAAGACAGGCTTCATTATGCAAAGGACCCTGAGAGGATGCTCCTAAAGCCTTAACATTAGACCAGGGGTGGGCAAACTTTTTGACTCGAGGGCCACAATGGGTTCTTAAACTGGACCGGAGGGCTGGAACAAAAGCATGGATGGAGTGTTTGTGTGAACTAATATAAATTCAAAGTAAACATCATTACATAAAAGGGTACGGTCTTTTTTTTTTAGTTTTATTCATTTCAAACGGGCTGGATCCGGCCCGCGGGCCGTAGTTTGCCCATGGCTGCATTAGACAGAGGTCTTCCTGGAAATCATGGTCACCTGGCCCAGACCCCTGGTCTGGCAGATGAGAACATTCAGGTTAGTGATAAGGTCAGGTAACCCCTCAGGATATAGTTGGAAGGAGACACCCAGGTCTCCCAAGCTCCCAGGCTCCCCAACTGAGTTTCCACAGAAGAAGACTCTGCAGGATCTCAGATGGAGGCTGGGGCTGGCCGGGCAGAGAGAGCATGCCCTGGTGACGGCCCTGGCAGTGGAGGGTGAAACCGTGCCCAGGGTCTGCTCCCCAGCCCTCCTTCTCCTGCCCCAGGAACTTCTAGCAGACAGGACGAGAAGGCAGTGCACCTCCATGGATGCCCCTGCCCCCAGCAGGGCAGGTGACCAGGCCTGAATGTTTCTGGGGAGAAGGCGGTCCATGGCAGTTCCAGGAGGCCCAAGACAAAGGATCAGGGTGTCCACTCCCCGGCGAGGTACCCAAGCTACCTGTGCCATTGGACCCTGCAGACCGCATCTACCTTTTCCAGTGGCCCAGGACTGGCACAACAGGCTTCCTTGCCCTCTGGCTTTTTGGGTGAGTCCAGCCAATGGGGAGCTGGGATAGAAGAAGCAGAGGAAGGAGAGGGAGGTCAAGGGTGTTTATTTCCTGAGTCTCTCCAGCAGTCAAAGGTCCTATTTCCTGTCAAGTGTCCCACTCCCCCAGCCCTCTCTCTCCATCTTAGTAATTGGTCCCCTCACCCCTGCTTGCACCTCAGGCCTAGGGAAGGTAACAGAGTGAGCCCCGAGCTATTGGACCTGGAGTGCTGCTGTGTCCCTGTGGCTCCCCTCCACCTGCCCCCACCTTTGTAAGGTCTCTTCCTCCAACACCCCCCGCATGATGCTGATCTGGGTGTGCCATCTATTTCCTGCTGGAGCCTGACTTCTGCAGGACCCCTGCCCGGCACAGCTAGTTCACTCTCAATGCCTCGTTCTGTGGAGCAGGACCAGCTGACCATGCAACGGAGGCGTATTCCCGCCCTGCAGCCCGGGGACATCTCCGGGTCATGAATCGCAGTCAAGTTAACGACACATGCAGTCTCACTGCGCGTTTCAGACGGGCACAGGCCTTCACCAAAATCAAGCTTTTAGGGCTGCTTCCAGGCCCCCTACTTTGTTGAAACAGCTCTCGAGCCCACGAACAAGCAGCCGTTTCCTCTGGGAGCTGAGCGGCACCATGGTGTCCTGGAGCCAGCTCCACCCAGCCCAGAGGAGCCAAGCATTTTTAAGGAATTTTGTGAGTCAGTTCTTATGACCAGACATTATTAAGAGCTAAATCACATAAACTTACAATGAGATAAATTATATAAAACACAAAGGTAATAAAAATTCAAAACTCATAAGTCCCGAATTATTTACTACATTTTATCACTATCTATGCTCTGGAGGATAGTTACAACGAGTAAGCCCGGTGGTGGAAATGCCACCCCGGCTGTGCCACTCTCACCACGTCTCCTCTCCATACTCCCTGATGTCATGGTGGTAGCTTGAAACAGGCCAGGGTGGAAACATCACATCACAGAAACTGGCAAACACCACGAAACCGGGCTTTTTATTTGCTTGTTAAACATTTACCAGCACGTCACTAAATGGAGCCAATGAAATCCAAGTAAAAACAAACCTGCGATTCTGCATGTAGAGATATTGGAGCGTGCAGGGCCGAGCCCACCCCCACTCCCCACCATCCCACTAGATGGCTTATTCCAGGCAGTGCGCTGAGAGGACTGCTGGGGCTGGGTGTGCATCCTTGGGGTGCGGGCAAGTGGGGGGACCGAGCAAAGGGAGGGAAGGTGCCCTCCAAGTCCCCCCACAGCTGTGCCCTGCTCAGAGGAACTCATTAGCTGTAGCAGAAAGCGAGCTGCCACCCTCTAGGCATGAGAGACGATTTGTGGGTTCACCCAAGTGAAAATCTGAGGGCAGTCCATCTTCAGGCTGCGTGGATCCGCAGATATGTGGTTTGATCTACATTTTCAGATGATTTCTTTTTCTCTTGTTCTTTCCTCTCAGTTCTATTTTCCTTTAAATAAATTCATTCCCAGGAAGCTGCCCCCCTTAGAATTATAAAAGGCCAATTCATATCCTGTATCTTAAAGTCTGATGCTAGCAGCCTAAACTAAAGAGCTTCTCTTTCGCCCTGGCCAGCATGTTCAGTGGTTAGAGCGTCAGCCTGTGCACCAGAGGGTCTTGTGTTCGCTTCCTGGTCAAGGGCATGTACCTGGATGGCAGGTTTGATCCCTGCCCCCAGTTGGGAAGCCTGTGGGAGGCAACCAATGGATGCGTCTCTCTCACATCGATGTTTTTCTCTCTGCTCCTCACCACACTTTCCACTCTCTGAAAATCAATAGAAAAAATATATTCACTCCTCCAGTGAAGATTTTTTTTAAATTTATTTTTTTAAAAAAAGAGTAAAGGCTCTCCTTGGAGTTCCAGCAAAAGCTCCAGTTTCTAACTGGCCCTGATGGCCCGGATGGCCAGGCCCCTGGTCAGAAGGTGGTGGGAGGTTTGGAACTTTGATAGGTCAGCTCTGAGTCATGGGGCCCAACTCCACCCAAACCCATGAACTGAGTGTGAGGAGAGGCAGGGCGGGTGGGGGAAGCACCAACTGCTCCTTGCGAGGGCCCAGGCGCTCTGTGCTGTGGACGTGCTGTGCCCCTCGCTGTGGACCTGGGCAGGCCATGCCCTCCCACAGGTCCGAGTGTGGGCAAATCCATCCAGT